GGAGTGAAAGCCACCAGTGCAGTTCAGTTCCACTCAGTCCATCCTTCACAATAGGAGCAGCTCATGTCCTGCAAAAAGTTACCTTCCCAAGGTTATTGTGCTGAACTTCATCAGTGGAATTGTATGTTTTTAAACAGAGTAGTGTTTCTTATCTATGACACATGAATATTAAAGTTGTATGTGTTTAGGCTTTTTGCCTTATTCTGTATGTTATGGGTAGAACAAATGATCAACTGTAATGGTTACACTTTCACAATAAAAGAAATATTTATAGTAGGTTAAAAGTTGTTTCTGTGGAGCCTGGTGTCTGTTTTGGTGATTGTGTTGTTATGGAAAACCACTGAGAGTGAAATGTATCCATAAAGTTATTCAATAGTATAATTTTCTACTTCAGAAATCTTTCAAGATTAAGAGAGCAGAAACTTTATGATAGAAAATCTAAATAGGAGGTTGGCCTCACATGGCTGGACATGCTGATCTTAGAATTATAGAATCATAGAATAGATTGGGTTGGAAAAGACCTCCAAGATCATCAAGTCCAACTCCTGATTCAACTCCAATTACTATAGCATGGCACTAAGGGCCACATCCAATCTCTTTTTAAAAACCTCCAGGGATGGTGAATCCACCACCTCTCTGGGTAGGCCGTTCCAATGCCTGATCACCCTCTCTGTAAAGAATTTCTTCCTAACATCTAACCTAAACCTCCCCTGGCAGAGCTTGAGCCCATGTCCCCTTGTCCTATTGTTGGTTGCCTGGGAGAAGAGAGCAACCCCCACCTGGCTATAACCTCCCTTCAGGTAGTTGAAGAGAGTGATGAGGTCACCTCTAAGCCTTCTCTTCTCCAGACTAAACAATCCCAGCTCCCTCAGCCTCTCCTCATAGGACTTGTGCTCAAGTCCCTTCACCAGCCTTGTTGCTCTTCTCTGGACCCGCTCCAGCACCTCAATATCCTTCCTGAACTGAGGGGCCCAGAGCTGAACACAATACTCAAGGTGTGGCCTCACCAACACAGAGTACAGGGGAAGGAACACTTCCCTGCTCCTGCTGGCCACACTGTTCCTGATGCAGGCCAGGATGCCATTGGCCTTCTTGGCCACCTGGACACACTGCTGGCTCCTGTTCAGCCTCCTGTCGATCAGCACCCCCAGGTCCCTTTCTGCCTGGCTGCTCTCCAGCCACTCTGTGCCCAGCCTGTAGCGCTGCAGGGGGTTGTTGTGGCCAAAGTGCAGGACCCGGCACTTGACCTTGTTGAACTTCATCCTGTTGGAATCAGCCCATCTCCCCAGTCTATCCAGATCCCTCTGCAGAGCCCTCCTGCCTTCCAGCAGGTCGACACTCCCTCCCAGCTTGGTGTCATGTCACCTTCTGACAATAAAAACTGTAGGACATTACCAGTCTCTGTTAAATGCAAGTTAATGGAAGGGAAAGATGAAAAGCTCTACGTAGTAGTCATGGAAAAGAAAATCTCATGGAGAATTCAATGTATCAGCTATCAGCATGCCTATATGAATATAATTTAAGATTTATAGTTATGATTCTTTGAATTTTTGAATTTCTGAACTTCCTGAATTTTTGTGTTTTACCCCAAACTGTAGATCTTATTTTCTAATATCTATTAATTTTCCAACTTCACTGAAGATAGAATACTTCTATCTTACCTGACTAAAGCAGTGGTGGAGTCAGAAGATGGTGACAAGAATGGTTAGTGCTCTAGGATAAAATCTTTATGAAGACAGATTGGCAAGTCGGGACTATACATTTTAGAAGGGTGGCTGAAACAAAAGGCACAATTATGTGCATATTAGTGATTTTGGGGGCAAAAATTGCTTTAGAACTGAGCATTTCTCTTTATCATTACTCCTATTACAAGCACAAGGAAAACAGGCAGGGTACTTCAAAACCAATAAATGGAAGCATTCTTTTTTAAAAGAAAACATATTTTTGAAATATATAGAACTTAGTAAAACAAAACACCAAGCCCAGAATCTGCATAAGTTCAAAAATAAATGCAGGAATATCTAACAGTCAGTTAGATAACAGTTCTTCTATATATTTGAAGAAAAGGAAGCATAGTTTCACATATCATTATATTATCTCAACATGAAACATTGGAAGCCAGAAAAAAATCACCTTTGAAGGAATAATCACATGATGAATGCTTGCATGATAGCTTCAAGTTCTTCTGAAACTGTTTTCCAGTAATGTTAAGCAGATCATCACCAATCTGCAGATCATCCAATATGATAAGTGATGAGTGACAATAAACACTAATATTTACATTAAAAGTAAAAAAAAATTTCCCATGTCCATCTTCATACACAATTATTTGGTTATGCTCACAATAGCTAGACACTGCTTATTTGTGAGAAAATTTGGGGCCATGGAGTTCATGTTCAGTGAGGGTGACAGGATTTCTGTGACACATTTTGTAGAAAGCTATAGAAAAAGAGGGAGACGGTTATTTACATTTTCTGTAGGATTACAGTAGAAACAGAAGTAAGGGACCTGGGATTCAAACACTAGGTGTTTACTTAACAGAAAATGAGTTAGAAGATTTAAGTTTGATTCTGCTTCCTGTTCGGCACACTGTTGGATGGTGTGCTGAGTGAATTACTGTTTCTTTCATGCCTGTTTTCAAGTGTGTATTTATCTGCCCATCTGGGTGACAGTAGTCAGAACGGTGAAAATTAAACATGCAGTTATAAATTTCCATAATTACTAGTTGCAAGAAAATTTTTTGAATATTTTACGAGAATGTTGCTTATCCTTCTGCTTCAGACACTGAACTGAAAATCTTCATTTTCTCAACTTTCTTCTCCTGACATTTCATATTCAGAACTCATAGCTTTTATGTTCTAAATGTGTCTGTAGCTTTTATTACCTTTTCTATTGCCTTTATTTTCTTCTACACAGGCTAGTTACCAGCTATTGATACCTTTATTGTTAGGACTGGGCTATCCTATTAGGGAGCACTAGCTCATTTTTATTATAGAGAATCTTTCACTGACTGTAGTGGTAAACCTCTGAGTATCTACCTGCTAGAGGTTTTGATTTGAGAAACACTTTTTTTTTTTTCTAATTAAGTTTGTTTGGGTATTTTATTTTTTCTACACTGATTCATTCTTCAATAAAGAGAACATATGCAAAGACTCTTGCTATTTTACAAATTGCAGGATTTTGGTTTTTTAGAGATGCTTGTCTTCAGAAAAGTTCTCTTTTTTTATTTTTAGTTTTTATCTTTAAGGATAGCAGATAGAAAACTGGAATTTAAGTCATACATGTAATAAAGGAGCTGAAATGTCACAACAAAATGTACTACTATTGGTTGTGTGCAATAAAACTATATGGACCTGTAGAAAGCAGCTTACAGATTTTCCATACTGCAAATAACAGTCCCATAATGCATCCTTTATTTAAATCATGCAAAAAAAATCTGAGCTATGCACTGGTCTGTGACTGAAATCTGAATGAGGCACTTAATGTGCATAGATCCTTGAAATGTAATTTGACTGTGATATAAAGTGATTAAGGTTTCAAAGACTAATTTTCTCAAAGATAACATGAAAATTTAGTTGACAGGGCTTCCATGACATGAAATCACAGAAGGTTTTATAGAGTCCAGCTGACTTAATGTTTTCTAGGTTGTTTGATTACCATGGCCGTGTCCCCCCACCGCCCCGTGCAGTGATTCCACTGAAACGTCCTCGTGTGGCTGTGACAACAACTCGT